CCCCAAAACCCCAAAACCCCAAAACCCCAAAACCCCAAAACCCCGTGGTTAAATGTCACAATTGAATATTTTAAGAGAAATTTTTACTATCAACATTTTCTCTTTATTTTTAAATGAGTATCTTAACTCATTCATATCCGAGATATGTGATAAAAGCAGCACTCATAGCAATTATCCACCAGCTCACATACTTAAGCCATGGTTTGTTTGGACATAATACTAAATAGAAACCAGCTGGCATGAAAAATCAAGTTAAAAATGATGCAGATGATCCTAAAAAAGCAGATATTTGCCCTAAATCTGTCACCATATATGCAGTAGCAAAGGTTGTAGCAAATACAATAGTCGTTAAGAAATAGTACTCTATATTCCGCATTTCTTTTACGAATCATTTAGATTTGTGTTCCATTTCTATCAGTTGGGCTCTAAGTTCAGAATCAGACCTAATTTTTTGTCAATAATTGGAGATTTTTTGGTATCTCAGCTCAATATAAAGGTTAATAAAAGCTTCTTTACCAGAAAAAAAGACCATAGGCATGTGCATAAGGGAGATAACGAGATAAACAACCAGGATAAATCTGCTGTATTCATAATTTGTAAGGGATATGTTCTTGAGAATATCTGACTTCATGCCGTCTCCAAAAATTAGAAGAGCACAACAGCATACAGATATGTATACAATGAAAGTGAAAATAAAAGCAATAGTTGCAAATTTCATCCCATTTGTCGAATTTTTCAAATTTGGTTTTAACGAGTTGTATATTGGGAAGAAACATGGGTGAAATCCAAAAGCAAGAATAATATTTGGAATTGTCAATCCAAATCCATTTCCTTTACTGCTGAGATGGTCACTGAGATTAGTATCAAGCTCTTCCCAATGTGTCAGGAGGATATGAAAAATCACATATCAGAATAAGCAGACACATGAAATTGAAGTATAAGAAGCAATTCTTAAATTATGAACTTCTCTGCTAAATCAAAACCAAGAAACTACTATTGCATTTAAAGCAATCACAAATTCTCTTGTATAAGAATATTGCACTTTAAAGATTTCTTCAATAAGAGGAGTGGCTGCATCTGCAAAAACTACTATGAATATCACAGGGACACCTAAGCACATAATTGAGATTAGTATATTTGTCAGAATCAGTCCTCCTCTGCCAATACATTCAAAAGCAATAGAAGCATATCAAGAATATCCAGTGCTCTCTTTTAGTTCAAGCAATAATTTAGCTCATATGAGGCCAATTAGAAAGGACAGAAGGAAAGAACCAGTTCCTAAGATTAGCCCTCACTGCAACATTGTGTACGGAAGTGTTAGGATCGCACCACCAAAAACCGTATTTATTGTATTCACTGAGCATACAAAGACTGTTGATTTTCCTTCTCTATAAAAAATTAGGACAAGCAAAATTATCTTACTTTTCAGCGATTCCTGCATTTTCATGGGTGATCTCCATGCGTTTGTAGTTTGCTCCAGGGATGTTCTTAAAACCATCCTCGATTTGAAAAGCCATTTTTATTAATTAGTTATTTTGGGGTTTTGGGGTTTTGGGGTTTTGGGGTTTTGGGG